GCGGAACCGCGAGCCCGCTCGTCCCCTCCGCAGCCCCGCCGGCTCAGCGCCTCCACCCACGCGGCAGGGGGACGCGGCTGCCCACCGCCCCGTCCTCGGCACCGCGGTGACCTCCACCCGCTCACCTTCTTCAACAAACCCGCCATGACAGCGCCAGGGCCCGGAGCGCACGGCCCTCTGGGAACCCCTCCCAGGCCTGCTCAATCGAGCGTCGATGCCGCCGCTGCCGCTGGGTCACCTAGGAAACGACTTGGTTCCGAAGGCGGGGTGAGTGTTATTCCCGCCCACCTGGGAGGGATGTGCGCGTGTGCAGCTCATGCACAAGGCTCGGCAGGGTTTGGGCGCAGCAGAGACTGATCCCGCTGTTAGGGAAAACGCTACCCTACGAAAAACCTCAAATGTAGTCACTGCAGGAGCTTTAGTTTTGCTTAGCCTTTGATTGATGTCTTAACCGCATTTCCTCAGCTTACCGAAATGAGGGTGAGCGCCGGCCTGAGCATCATGAAAAATGCTCTCCTCCGCAGGTGTGAATACGTCCTCATAAGTGGAAACTATCAAGTGGAATTAACCATCGGATGCACCCGTTTGCTCTTGAGGAAACTGATAAATGGAAGGCTATGAAGTCATAGTCTTTGTTCCAGTGGGAGTTTATGAGGTCATAGTCTCTGTTCCCTCTGCCGCCAGATGCTAAGAATGTCTGTCGTTGTTGAGTGTGTTCTAGAATGTAGAATCATGGCTTTATAAAGGATGCATGTGTTCTTTGTAACTTTGGATTCAGGCATCTGCTGTGCGGTATTTGCTAAAGACACCGAGGGTAGACAGACCTGGCTGATCCTGGTTAAGGTACTACAAAACTAATCGTTTCCATGTGGTACAATAAGTAGTTTTCTGAACCAACCCTTTGTAGAGGGGCACCCTGTGAATGAAGGCTTGCTAATGGTATTCTAAGCTAGGGACAGTAGAATTCGCTATAAAGGGACACATCCCATGACATCTGTGATATAGAACGGGATCTAGAAATGTCTTAACAAACATTGTAAGAGGATAGAATGTTCTGGGTTCTTAAGTAGTAGAAGTGCACTGTATTACCCAGAGGAGTAAATATTCCAATCCTGGGGGAAAAGGATGTTAGGAAATTCTGTAACTGCTAGAAAGAGATTAGAACCGGGAGAGCTAGAGCCAAATTTTTGACCCTGCATCTTACAGAGTTTACTCTTCGGGCCCTCTAGCCTGTCCAAAAAGAGCGGGAGCCTCCAGTTCTGCTTCTCGGTGATGGAAGCTTTTTATTTTTGTGAGAGGCTCGATCTTGTCAAAATTGGGTGATCAAAACGTCTCCTTGAAATCCAGGCCTCTAGCTCAACAGAGGGAAATACTAGGAAAACTAGCAAAGGTGAAAATAACGCCAAGCTGGACAGCTCGCGACCCCCTCGAAAAGCGGGGGTGGGGTGGGGGGGGCGTTTCAGCGAGTCATTAAAGTCGAATAACAACCAAACCCCAGACATTTGGAGATCATCTACCTCTGTGCCATTTGTCTGGAAACAAGCTTGTTTCCAATTATTTATGCCATTCTCAGGGTTTCCAATCCTATTATGGACAGTTCTAGAAACTGTGAAGATGGTCACATCTAATACTCCAACCTGGATTGAATTTAAGTTAAATATTGGGATTAAACTTATAAATAAAAAGATAAAAAGTAGGCATAAGAATAAAGTTTAAATATGGCAAAAAAATAATTTTTTTCTAAGTGTTAATACTTTATGTTTGACTAATCTCATCCAACATAAAATGACAAATTAAGTGAAACAAGACTAGAGGGAGACAGAATAACTAATATAGAGAAGGGACTTCACAAATGAGTTGAAATGTGATCCCAAGGCTGAACTAATCCTTCACTAAGCTGTTGTACTGATTGCTTATTCTGCGACAAAGGTGTAGGGACAGGAGAGCTCTGATGGGAGTGAGGGAGTTGGGTCTCAGTCCCCAGCGAGCTTTGTTGTGGTAGACGCAGAAAAAGAAAATCGAAATTAATAAGTAAATTCATACACTGTGACCATCTCCAAAGGAAATGAAGAGTGCACAGCATGCACTTAGGAGAGCACGGAAGCCTCCCTGAGAAGGTAGCATTTGTGTGGAGACATGAAGGTGAGTAAGGAATTCTTGTCACACAGAACTAGCTAAAGGATGCTGCAGCCGGAGGGAACCGTCGGAGCAGAAACACTGAGGACAGAAAGTCCTGTTGCCCCAGGCAGCTTCACGGTCAACATCATTGAGCCAAGGCACATTCTGATGAATGCAAAACCTTCAGCTCTAACTAACTGGGCTCCCCCACCTTTCACTTTAGTAAAGCCTACTTCTTTGGAAAAATTCCAGTAGAAAGAAGCAAATAATAACAAAAAATGTCATGTGTCCTAGTAGGACTGGTCAAAACATTTAAAGAGGGTGAAAAACGGAATAAATTTAAAGTGCGATGCCTGCCTTAGGAGCTGACAGGGAAGTGGACAACAGCATCTGCATTAACAACTGGGGAGAAGAAAATTTTGAGGACCTCCCAAATCCTGTAAAATTATGAAAGCTTTTGCAGAGGTACAGGGTGGAATTTTCATACTAATCTGCATGGTTTCAAAGCCTGAGTAAATATTTTCATCATATGTTCCCCCCCCCCACACACACACACACACAACACCTTAAAATTTCATAGTCAACATGGCTTTGGGGCCTTCCTTGTTTGTAATATAAAATATTACCTAATACAGAATGTATAACTCATAATGCATTAAGAAATAGTCTTTGGAGTCTTTATGTTTAAACAACCCGCCCTTTCTGGCCTACCAGGTAATCTTGTAATGCAAAAATAGTTGAAGCCTCCCAAAGCCTTTTCCTTTTCCAGTTAACTCAAGAGACATGCAGCTTTTTGACCAGCAGGTGGTGGCAGAAGTTAATGACAAGCTTACATCCCTCAGATGACGGAGGATTTTTTGCTGTTTGGTTTTTGTTTGTTTGTTTGCTGTGTGTGTGTGTGTGTGTGTGTGTGTGTGTGTGTTTGTGTGTGTGTGTGTGTTCTTTTACATAATCTGGAAGATTTGTTGGAGTTGAAATATAATCAGTAAAGCATTAAAAAATCTGGGCTAAAATATCTCAGCATCATGTAAATAGTAGGGAAAAGAATCTATTCCAAAGTAGCAGAAACTCAAGCAGATCCACCTGCCATTCAGACAGTCATAGATAGTAGCAGTAAATAACTTAACGAAGCCTCAGTCATGTGGCCTTATATGATGTTTAAGTGTGCTACATCACGTGCATTTTTAATAGAGCATGTGTGAGACTGACTTAAGGGGCTGGGGAAATAAAGGAATAAAGGAGTCAGTATGTTGTCAGTGCCTAGAAGAAGACTGGGCTGATGAAAAGTGTCTATGGTTACAATGAAATCCAGCTGAGCAAGAGGTGGGACAGGAATGCTCACAACAGCTCAACACCAAAGAACGAGGTGGGGGAAGAAAATGAAGTGGAATTTACATAATATCGTAAGAACACAGCTGTGATGGATGTCAGGAGCTGCTGAAGAGACTCCAGGAAACTCTGGGAGGAAAGCGGACCAAACACCACTGGTTGCCTGGGAGTTACAAGAAAGGAAGTACAGTCTGATGAAAATGACTTCAGTGAGTGAATTAGACAATTAGAAACATGAAGGAAATAGTGATTGCTCTGATTATTTCTGTTAAAGGAAAATGAGTTATGATGGGATATGGTTAAATCCTTGCCAATCATACTTAAAGCTTACACTTGCCAGCTCTTAGGTATAGAAGGGGTTTTCCTCTCCCACAACGTGTTATCCCTTCTGTTGGTTCTCAATCTGTCCTTTCACAGAAGGCTGCTGGGGCTGCTCTTATTACTGGACCCATAAGCGCCCTCCTGGTTTACCTGTTTTGGGTAGTCTTGTCCTCTCTAATGGGCTGTTTTGAGATATAACTAGAGAAAGCTGAATATAATAGGAGACTGCCTTCCAGTCTCCTCATTTAGTCTGGCAGGCATGCTAGCTCACCTCTCCCTCTCCCCCTAAGTTCGAAATTATTTTTAGCATGGTTACATCTTACTGACTTAACAAAACAGTAGAAAAACTGCCATTGCTTTGTTTGGGCAGGGGTGGGTAAAGGGGAAGAGGATTGCAAACTTAACCATAGTATTTTGACTTAATTTCATTCGATAATCACTTTCATAAATCTTCGATGATAACAAATGGAAGTGATATTTTGAAATTTAATGGAAAAGGAAACACATCTGTTTCCAGCGATTCTTAGTTCAGTATTCATTCTCTTCTTTTATGTAAAATTGGCTACCAGATCTCCCCCCCCCTTTTTTTTTAACTTGTCTGAGTACTTCTAGCTACACTGTTCTAGTTTCTCAACACTTTAAAACTGCTTCTGAGTAACTCACAAACCCAGATAATTTCTAAAACATTGCTTTTCCAGCCTTGGAGGGTGCCGGCATCATCTAAAGGTTTATCAAAACTGAGAATGTTGGACCTCAACCAACACCTGCCCCAAACTGCCCGCAAATCCTAGTTTCTGATACTTAGTAGAGTTTTGAAGTCTAGAGTAAGAACTAAATCTGAATTTCGTATGAATTCCCAGATGATGTTTGTGGGATGTGGGATGTGGCCCACACTCCAGAAGGACAGTTTCACTTTGTACTTACGTCCAGACACTGTCCTACTCAGTGTACTTAGCTGTAGATTCCCATGGCCAGTAGCATCATGCCTACCTGCCCGTGTCTGAGGACTTCCCACATGGTGTCTTGTCCTACCTACCAATGTCATTGCTCTTGTCTCTCCCACCGTCTGACAGTTCTACACTTCTCCCTCAATCCCCTGTGCTTTGCATAAAGGATTTTATGTCCAATAATGTATTTTTGAGAAATTCACTCCTGATCCAGCAGCAAACAGTTCACAAAACATGGGAGTGGTTCCTGTCTCGTTTTCCTTGATGCATTCTTATTTCTTTTTCTACTTTTCTCTCTCAGTCTTTAATTCTTCATTGGATTTGTATTGATCCTGTTAATTCCTAGGCCCTTGGCTTCTAAGACACAAAAGAGAAAAAACATGGAGAGAGGTAAAAATTCATTGTGCATGTGTTAATCTTTTTCTTAGTCAATGAGACTCATTTACATTTTGTTAGGATAAATATGACTCCCATTATTTAAAAAATATTTTCCTATACACTCAGTTTTTATTTGCAGTTCATGAAATATTTAGGAAGACTGAATTTTTTTAATTTAGTGGGTAACCCTAATATATAACTGCATTGATTTTCAGTTATGTCGTACAGTCCCTATTAGTACCCTGATAGGCAAAAATATATATATATTATATCCTTTCTCCTGTGTCCTCTGCACCTCCTTTTCTACTGACTTTAATAAGAGCTTGTGTTTCTTAGCATTTGCTTTCATGTAAATGTGCTTGAACTTCCAGCATTTGCTACGTCATTCAGGATATTTCCTTTCACCTTCACTACTCCAGCTGCGACATCCGATAGCACTTGACTCCTCCCTTGTCTCTAAACTATATTAATAGACTCATTTCTAATTGCAGGGCATAGGACATCATCTACTTAGCAATCCCAGGCCCTGCGTTTGTTTAATCATTTGTCCTATAGTGGAATGTCTCCAATGCTCTCCACAAATCCATCTCTCATACTTATTTCTCTCTTTATTATTTGATTTAAGTCAGTCTCTAGCAATTTTCTAAGAAGGCCTTGTGGGAGTCTTCCTGTCATTGGTTGAAAAACAGACTCAAGTGTTGCAAGTCTGAGTACTTGGAAGCCATAACTTTGGAGACATGTCACATGGAG